GCCAATTTTGGTTTTGCTTTTTTGGTTTCCTTTAGTGATTCTCTAGATGTGAATCCCTTATGAGGTATCTTCTGCTGATTATTGTAACAAAAAGTCAGAGGCCCTCGCTGAAGAGGTTCATTACAATCTGAGCCAGTTAACTGGCTAATTAATTAATCACTGTTTATGTCACCACAGAGAATGAAAAAATACACAAAACCAATCAGAAATTACCCCCAGGGTTTTAAGGCACCGGCCCTGAGATTGGACTCTAGCAGAGGCTGCTGTCCCACCTGGATGAGACTTAGCCAGCCCACTTGCTTTTCCCAAAATAGTGAAGAACGCTTCCTCCCTCCCACAGGGACCCTTGCTACGTGTCAGAGTGGCAGCATGGCGCTCACGGACGCAAACTGCATCCTTTCCTGCTGTGTGAAGACATGGCTGCCGGCTCGTGATTATCCTCTCCTGTGACCTGGCCAGAGCAAGCACTCCAGTGAGTGCTGGAGCCATTACTATTCAGCCCGTTGGAGTGGAAACGAATTCAGGGAATAGCTAATCTTAAAATCTAATTTGTATACAAAAAGCTGTACAACTATTCTGAGCAGAAAATCCTCAGTTGATAACAGGCCTTGCTTTAAAATATGTTTTTAAAAAGAAGTAATAATAATTGACTGATACCCACAAAACAGGTTTAAATAAAAACATGCCTCTAAAACCCTTCTTTCTAACATAAAGTAGAAATGTTTCCAATGTACGCTCATCAAGAAAATGAACACATAAAAACTAAATGAAATTCTCTCAGTGGAATACAGTTTCTGGACACAGTGACTGAAAGGAAGGCGCTAGCGTCCTTGTTCTCTTGGTACTTTTAACCCAACACATTGCTCCAAATTCCAGCCATATTGTGGCAGAGCCATTGGGAGCTTCTCACAGTCATAGCCTGTCACATGGCGGCCCTTGTGCGTCAGCGGGCCATGAGCAGGAAGTAAAGGCGACTCAAACGCCGGATCCCAGACGGACGAGCGGCTGGCCCTGTGCGAACAGTGCTGTCCTCAGCCAGGATTCCCCTGAATTTGATCTCCCCGGGACGGTCAGTGCTCGCTGAGCTTCAGGCTTTCCTCCCCGTAAGCCATGAAGGGCAGTGGGGATGGCTACTGTCCTGGCACACGAAACCACTTCCACTGGTGAAACCAGCTTGTCGTGACCTTGGCTCTATTTCACGATAAACAAAATGGTGCCTTCAACCTGTTTTCCTCCTTCTTTGGTTAATTTCCTTTTAGTGATCATCACTAAGGTGGCAAGTACTAAGCCTGATGATTTCTAAGTCTGTACTGCCGCCTCTGACAGTGTCGGACAATACAGGCCTGCTTTTCCAGGCGCCCACATCTGGACGCCCCACGTGAACTCGGCAGACCTGAAGGCAAACTCGTCGTCTTCTCAGCACCCCGCCTTCTAGCAGATCCTACTCAGGCTGAGAACCACGATGTCACTGTGTCTCCATGTCTGCTCTGCCCGTCCACGGAGTGTGCCCGCCTCCTGTCACATCCTCTCCTGCACAGGCTCTCCCAGTGTGTGCCCCCCCCCACCCCACATGCTGTCACCGAGCGAGGCTGGGTCAGTCTCACAGGCCAGGCTTTGTGCCAGCAACTCCCCACCTTCCCTCATCCAGGGCTCCCCACAACGCTAAGAACTGGCTGACTCGGGTGGTGGCACAGACCTGCGAGCTGAGGACTGGAGAGGTTCATAAACAAGCCCAAGGTTGACCAGCGAATGGTGGCTCCGAGACTCAAACCCAAACCGAAACCCAAGCCGCTGTTTTCCAGAAGAAAGCTTAGACGTTCAAGAAGCAAGTCTGGGTCTGTTCTTTGCTCCGCTTCTTATCAGCTAGATGAACATCTCGCTACTGTTCAGCCTCATTTTACTCATCCAGAAAATGTACTAATCTCCTCTTAGTGTTGTTGTGGACATTAAATGATATACTGCCTGTGGACCATCGGCACGGTGCTTAGTGTATATTAATATGCTAAATAAAGACTATTTTAAAAATGCATAATAATTACTACGCCTGCATTGTTGACATAGGTTCTTCAACAGGCCTCCTGGAAAACATCTCCCAGGTTCACACAATGTACTTTTCTTCAACCCCAGCTCTGACCATGTCAGTTCCTGCCAACAGCAGTCGTTATGTCCACAATCATTATCTTCAGAATTTAGTCCCACTGCTATTTATTATTTCCTTTATCATCCGGGCGACGTACCATCCCCAGATGCCCTGTTTCCCCAGCCAGGCCCCAGCTGGGCTGGCGCCCTGGCTGAGAACACACTTCCCCATGTTGACTGGCTAGTGTTCTGTCCAGCCGCATGGGGGACCCACATGCTTCCTGCTCCAGGAGGCCTCCCCAGGGCCAAGAAGCAGTGCTTGTCACCTGGTTTTTGTCCCCACTGTCCACAGTGATTGTGTCATGGCGTACGAACATTCCGCCTCCTGATGCAAAGAAGTAGGACTCTGTACTGCCTGTCCTACCGAAATCAAGGACTGCATAATTTGCGTGTCTGTGCAAACTATGACGATGGATGACGTACAGAGGCCATAGGTGAGAAGCAAACACTGAATTAAAGTATGTGAATATGTAAGATGTAAATGTTTTCAGTTAAACGCTGATTCAGAAGGGGTAGTACTGGCTTCTGCCTAGTGCAGGACATGTCACACTCCCAGAATAGGAATGCGAGGGTGAAGAACACAGTATCCAGAACTTTCTCTGCACAATTTCAGATTCTTTTCCACAAAATTATATTTACCCAAAAAGAAAGTCGAAACAAAAACCGAATGTCAAAGATGGCACTAGAATTTGTATAGTTGAAAAATAGTGTTTTCTATTAACCTATAAGTAACCCCAGAGGGTCAGAGCCCTCTGTTCCAATCAAGTTCCTGATATTTTTTGGTTAATATTTTTGAGGGAGAGCCAGGAACAGCACCAAATGGGGCAGGAAAGAGTATTTTCTTCAAAGTGACTGTATGTGTGTGTGTGAAGTATATAATATCCACATGCGCATGCACACACACACACACACACACACACACACACACACATTCTTTCTCTGCCTATGACACTGCTCCAGTCCTGGTAAATTTCAGGATTCTAGTATTCCGTGTGGGGTTATGTCACTTAAGAATTTAGCAGTGACGTCTGAATACTGAACAGATAATGGTAAACCGGCATTTGTTTTTCTGCTGAGAGTAAGTGAAATAGCTGGATTAGCGCAGGAGAGTTTGTTGTTATAAAGAACTCTCTGGGGCCGGCCGAGTGGCGCGATGGTTAAGAACTGGCTTGGGATGCCAGTGGGCCCCGGTTCGGATCCCATATGTGAGGGCCAGTGACACTGCCCTCCACAGCTAAGATGCTGAACAACAGCTCAACCTGGAGCTGGGCTGCCCTGAGTTGCCGGCGACGG